GGTACTCTGTAACTTAAAGAGGGGGGAGTTAAGTGACTCTCCAGAGGCTTAATGTAAAATTTGATATTTTGTGTTGAAGAATTTGACCTGTGTCTTAACTTCCAATCTGCTCTCAGCACTAAATTATTCAAAAACTATAAAGCAAAAAGACGTGATTCAATAGACAGGTTTTTTTTGGGGGGGGGGTTGGGAAGTGTTATTTGTTTTACATTTTGTTCTAACCAAAATCCCAAGGAAATAGGCTAGGATTATTTAATGCCTGCCACATCACTGAGCTATTGCTATGCAAGGGAACATCCTCAAATTCAGTGACTGAAAACATGAACTATTCTCACTTACGTGTCTTTGGGTTGGTTGCGGTTCCTCTGAGCTTGGCTGGGCAATTCTGCTTTCAGCCGCAGGTAAAGGGTCAATGGAAGTGGCTCTGCCCACATAGCTCATCCTCTGGGCAATCCAGGGCTAGGATGGAGACAAGGCAAAAGCAGAAATACGGGGCTTCCCTGGTAGCGCAGTGGTTGAGAGTCCGCCTACCGATGCAGGGGACACGGGTTCGTGCCCCGGTCCAGGAAGATCCCACATGCCGCGAAGCAGCTGGGCCCGTGAGCCATGGCTGCTGAGCCTGCGCGTCCGGAGCCTGTGCTCTGCAACGGGAGAGGCCACAACAGTGAGAAGCCCGCGTACCCCCCTCCAAAAAAATAAATAAAAGCAGAAATACCTGAAGCCTCTTACGGACTAGGCTTGGAATCATCATGCTGTCATCTCTACCTTTTTCTACAGCCAAAGTAAGTTACAGGGTTCAACCTGAACTCAGGAGTGGGAAAGTATAATCTTCCTCTTTAGAAGAAGCAACTGCAAAGTTAACAGAGCAAGGGTTGGGGGAGGAATGGAGTAATTGATTCAATTTACCACACCTGCTGTATGTTTGGCACTGAGCTGATAACTGCTTCACATGCCTTAGCAGATGTAATACATTCTCTCTTTTCCCTCCTCCACCTCTTTCTCTGTCCTTCTCTGGTAAATATGTTTATTATCCCAATTATACAGTGGGGGTTAGAGGGTCGAAGTCAGTTGCTTAAAGTTAGTAAATGGAAGAGCCAGAATTCACAGGAAAGGTCACAAGACTTCAGACCTGAGCTCTTAACTACAGCACTGTTTTGTGGAAAAGGGGGATGCCTAGTATATAATAGGACCAGAAATCATCCCCAGACTTTTCTTCCTTCAGAACTGATGCTCTACCACGCCATACAGCATCTTTTATATACAAAAGAAACCTTAACGGAACGAGCTCTTATACTAAAATAACTGATTTCTCTCCCCTCTTTCTCTCAAAACCCATATCTGATGTGTCATTTATTCTCAAATTTATAATCTTTCAAATTAATAATCATTTCTCACTATTTCCATCACTATTACCATGGACCAAGCCAGCACCATCTTTCATCAGGATGACTGCAGTAACTTTACTCATTTCCCTGCTTACACCTTGCCTAAAACCTGGATCTAATATTCAAGAGAGCAGCCAAGGTGAACCTTTTAATAAGGATTAATTTTTAGACAAACCCCTGCTATAGCTCCCCATCATACTTATAGAAAAATTCAGGGCTTCCTTGGTGGCACAGTGGTTGAGAGTCCGCCTGCCGATGCAGGGGACACGGGTTCGTGCCCCAGTCCGGGAAGATCCCACATGCCGTGGAGCGGCTGGGCCCGTGAGCCATGGCCGCTGAGCCTGCGCGTCCGGAGTCTGTGCTCCGCAATGGGAGAGGCCACAGCAGTGAGAGGCCCACGTACCACAAAAAAAAATTCAATCTCTTTCCAATGGACTGCAAGGCTCTCCCTAACAAGATCTCTCCACCCCTTTCCTGATTTGGCTCCATTTCCTACCATTTCCCCCTTCATTGATTCTACTCCAGTCACACTGGTCACTTTGCCATTTCTCAAAAAAGTCAGGTGGTTCCAGTCCTAAAGCCTAAAGCCTGGCTTTTGTACTGGAATTCTCTCCCGGAGTCAATCTTTATGGAAATAGCCATCTATTTACCTCCCTCATCTCTTTCAGTTGTTTGCTGAAATGTCAATGAGCCTTCCTTGACCCCCAATTTAAGACTGAAAACTCCCTCCTCCCTTACTTCATGTCAATTTCTACCCTACAACCCCCCAATCCCTTTATTCTACTATACTTTTTCCTTTCTGCTAACACTTTTAATCTTATAACAAATCATGTAATGTAAAGACATATTATCTACTGCCCATCACCCATTGTTAGAATATAAACTCAAGGAGGTAAGTTCTTAGCCTGTGCTGTTTACTATTGTATCCTAAATAGTAAGAAGTGTGTCTGTGACATAACTTGGTAAATGTTTGTTGAACCAATGAATGAACTGCTCACAGAGGCAGGGTTTCCATAGTATATAAAGTTTGGAAAAAGACCAATGTGATTTTTGTAATGAATGTGGGATCTACAAATCACTACCTTTGTGACTTTGAGCAAATTAATTAAGAGCCCCAATTTTCTCTGAAGTGATAAGCAGACTGTCAAGGTCTCATGAAACAACTTTCATTTTGACAGTTTCATGGTAATTGGAATTCCAGCATCTGGCCTCGGGAGTTTAGCCAAGAACTGGGAGTTTACCAAAGGAGGGACAGTGTTATTTCTGACCATGTGGATTCCAACTACATATTCAAGATTCATTTATAGCTTCTCTTAAAATGGAGAACTGCCGTTTACAATGAGCCTTCTTCCTTGCCCCTTCCACCGGCAGCCAGTTATTCTTCCTTCAGTCCAAGCGTGTAACACCATCACTTCTCTAATTGCAAGCAGTCACTGTAGCTGCTGGAGGAAGCGGGTGGGGTAAGTTGGCTTTTAGCTAGGTTTAAGGTAGCAGGGAAAGTCTGTTTTGCTGCTGCCATTGCTTGATTGGCATTACAGTTGGGCACGGGAGGGAGGAAGTGTATTAGTTTAGCTTAGCTACGGCTGCCATAACAAAGTACCACAGACCTGTTGGCTTAAACAACAGACATTTATTTTCTCTCAGTCCTGGGGCGAGCAGCCTGAGATCAAGGTGTTGACAGAGTTGATCTCTTCTGAGGCCTTGCACCTTGGCTTGTGGGTAGCTGTCTTTTCCCTGTGTCTTCACATAGTCTTTCTTCTGTGTGTGCTCATGTCTGTCTCTGAGTTCCTTTTTCTTATAAGGACACGTGTGCTCATGTCTGTCTCTGAGTTCCTTTTTCTTATAAGGACACCAGTCATAATGGATGAGGGACAACTCTAATGGCTTCATTTAAACGTAATTACTTCTTTAAAGTCCCTATCTTCAAACATAGTCACATGCTGGGGAACTAGGTTAGGACTCCAATATAAGAATCTTGAGGGGACACACTTAGCCCATACCTGGGAGTCATATGAATGAAGACAAAAAGAAATCCATTATTTATGTTTGTTCAAGATGCCATCTCAATACTTCTTTGCTCTCATAAGTAGAGTCATTCTTTGAGTATAAAGGTAAAGTTACTAGGACAAGCGAGCCATGCAGAATGGAAAATACTCATTTGGAGTGTAAGTGGGTGGGTGGGTGTTCACTAAATATTGAAATATACTTTGAGGTATACAGAACCACTTTCAAAAATTCAAAAATGAATAAAGAATAGTTGTAACTGTGAAATAATGGCAAGATTTCTTATTACTAACCCCTTTTCTGTCACAAATAGAATTGTTTCTCTCATATAATCTGTTTGCCAGTTTTGAGTTCATCCCATATTGCCAAAAAGAGTAAAATTAATATTTCACTGAATAGCTGAGTGAATAGTTGACATAATAATTCACTGAATAGTTGACAATTCAGTCTGTCCTCTTGCTTTTAACTGGATAACTAAGGATCAAGTAATTATACTGTCACAGGGAGCCTATCACTGCAGCCTTCCAGACTGACATCAGACCCTTCTCTAGAACACTTTCCAGACTCATCTTTTCAATGCATCTCCCAAGGATTGTAAAGCCAGCCTGATGAACCTCTCTGGCTAATTTCAATCTGTTATTCTTTCTCATTTAGTATTTGACCTCCTTGATCTCTAGGTCCCAGGAATCTTGTTATTACTTAGCATAATTTTTAAAGCATAAATAAAAATCAATTGTCTTCCTTCTTTTAAAAATATAATATTTTCTATTTACTATCACATTCTTAGATATCTACCTTGTATGAACAATATGTTTTTGATATTTACTGTAAACATTCAAAACAATTACTCTGAGTCTCATATATCATCATTCTGGGGCTGAGAACTCCACAGGTTTTTATAGGGTCATTTTAAATCACATAGTTTATTCTGAAGCTAAGGGCTCTAATTATTCAGTCCCCATGATTCTCCATATTTCATTGTCTGCCACATGTGAGGATTGATATTTCTGAGTGGGAACTCTCAGTGGGTTTTTTTTTTTTTTTTTTTTTTTTTTGCCAAGAGTTAGTAAACCATGTCCTGGAACCAAATTTTTGTCAGCTGCCTGATTTTGTCAATAAAGTTTAATTGGAACACAGCCATACCTATTCATTTACATACATAGAGTTGAGTAGTTGAAGAAGAGACTGCAGGCTTATAAAGCCTAAAATATTTATTGTCTCTTTACAGAAGAAGTCTGTCAATCCCCATGTTATGAAAAAGGCTACAATAAATATGACAATCTCTATTTTTATTATATGTGGTTAGACAACATCTAAGTGGGCATAGACTCTCACTGGAACTATTTTTATCCTTAATGCATTGTAATCCTAGTTGATGCCTTTAAAAAATTTCCTGAATTTACTTCTTTGCCGTAAACTTTTGAGATCAGTTTGTACAGATTTGTCTATCAATGGTCATTATTGTCATTGAAATGCATTTTGTCTAAAAAAATGCGTTTAACATTTAGTTGTGTTAATGTAGCTCTAACAGTATGACTTCTGAGTTTACTATGGAATACTCAGTTTTTATATGTTTACTTTCATATTTTAATTATGTTTTTATTCTTTCAGTGTCGACTTTGTTTGGAGTTGGGTGCTAAGATGTAAACTGACTGGTAAGTGACATCACGTTTCTTAATATGATGCATTTTTTTTTAATAGAAATAGATATTCTGGTACCCTGGCCCTCAAAGCTTTAAACCAAGAGCCATGATTTATGGGGAATGGAATATTCTGTTCTCTTCCTGTAGATGTGCAGATAAGGTATCTACAGAAATACTTTTTTTGTTGTTTGTTTTTTCATCCCTCACTGAATAATATGAAATGTAAAACAGTTCAGTCTGAAAAGTGGCAAAAATAATTGAATTAATGATTTATAGAACATTTAATGTTTGTGTCATCATGACATAAATTATATTTTAAAGGAAAATAAGGGTTCATATGAATAATGGGAAAGAAGAAAAATAGGGAAACTCACTTGAGAGGAACTGTGGATTGTTAATTTCTATAAACAATGTAATTTGCATGGATTTTATATTTTTTAAACTTTTTAGCACTGCATGAAAAATATGGAATGTCTCTGAAATTCTTCTCATATATGGCTTAGAAATATGGAAATGAATGATCCATTCTTGCTCTAGAATATGAATGGGATGAAGTATTGTTTCTTTTATGCATCAAAGTAATAAACTCTTGTCAGAAAATGTTAGGTTTTCAGATATTGTAGCGTGCACATTTAATAATCAAGTTTACAAGAACTTGTTAATTTTATCTGGGGCTCAATTTCAAACTGAGTATTTTTTGAGAGTTAATTTAATAATTTTAATGACAGATGGTATTTTCTGTTGTTACTCATGTAGCGTTCAAGTTGAAATAACAATAATTGTGAAGCCACAGGTTTTATGATGAACCGGGGTAAATCTAGTTTCTTCTTGGTAAATAATTTAGATGGTCTGTGGATCTACACTCCTTATGGATCTATGAATAAATCAGGTGGGTTTTTCAACGGGGAATTGTTGGTGTTTGCATCTCTCTATTACTTCATTGAATAATGTAAGATATCTTGTGAGAGCCATTGGAAATACAATTACATATAATTTTTAATTATGATTTAGAAATTTATATAACATCTATATATGGTATTTTTCTTTTGGACAGACAGCTTAACAATACATTTTTAATCATCTCTTTTGAGGATACAAGAGGAAATATTATTATAGGAGTCAAAATATAATACTGCTTATTCTATACCACCTAACCTGCTCGTTATCATTTTATAATAGTTGATTTGCTCCCATAGCATTTCTCTTTTACATATTTATTTTGTAAGTGAGACAATGCTGTCTGATATGACCACAGGCAAATATGATAATGTGGAATTACAACCCACATTATATGTATCAGTTGAGAACATGCTGAAATAAAAGCATTATGAATTTTTAAAAGTGGCCCATGAAAACCTAGAAAAATTAGAATGAATAAAAGGAGAATGAAAATAAATTAAATCAATAAATATAAAATATAGGAGTTGCAAAGTGAGAGACCACATTATTATGTACAAAGTGGAGTATTTTGATGTGAAAATGCTATCCATAAAGTAGAAGTTTAGGGTATCTGGTGATATGTTTGGTTGTTTAGTATATTTTAATATTAATGTATTTAAATAAAATATATGATATGTGTTGATGCGTCTTTCTTGAAAATGTGCCACATGAATTTGTCATCTTAACTAGGAACTATCTAATTGGCAGTTATATTAGAGGGAATCATAGTATAGGAGACTGCAGAAAAATGCTATAAAGGGTCTCTTGAAATTTAGTCTGGGAAGAACTAGTCATTAACTAGCCGTGTTGGTGAAGTTGAACAGCCATTTAATGGGTCCAAAGAAGCAGCCTTGGGTTTTGATTCCTTCACTTCTCACCTCTCAAAAGGACAACATATTTAGTACTGGTATTTTCATATTTTATTTAACACCACAATAAAGCATTCATAAGGAATATATAAATCTATATGTTAAATCAGGACAAAAATAATGGTTTATTTGTGGTACTGAACTCGAAACATGAGAAACTGACACATATGATTCAAATACTTCATATGGATGAAGGAGTATGTCTAACTTTTATAAGTAAGCATCTATTTCCCAAACAATTATAAAATGATGAATTCAGATGTGAAGAACGGTTGTATCAAAGTCTTCCTCTCAAGTCTGAAATGACTCCCTCTTGCAATGTAAGAATTTCTAACTGGCTTGGATATTCTTTCTGATATATAAACCCTGATGAACAAGAAAATTATTTGTCTAAAGTAGTTTGTTAGCATTTCCGAAGCACACAACTCTTACTAAAATTTGTTTTCTTGATAATGTCACATATCAATTAAAAGTCCAAAAAGATATATGGATTCACTAAAATAATCAGCACTGTTTCAGATTGACATTAGTCATTAAAAATTATGACTGAAAGCATAATTTAGATGTTGATACCTACTGTAAATGAGTAAAAGTTTACTTGTAAGTGAAATGTTGTAGCTATATAATGTCTCATGGCTGTAAGGTCTATGAGGGTAGAGACTGTGGTTTACTATTGAACAGAAAGTACTTGAACAGAAAGTACTTGGAATATAATGGACCTTAATAAGTATCTGTTGATTTAATAAATTAATCAGTAATATTTTTGAGGGTAAGACTCTGGGTAAATAATTTTATTATTATTATTGTTTTAATTATAGTATGTGCAAAACAGCATCCTTGGATTTGGTAAAGGAACAGTATTGCCTATGATTAAAAGCAAGGACCCTGGATCTAGAATTTCCGGTTGATAATTCTGGCTTATACAAAGTATATAACCTGTGCATCTCTATGTTACATTTTCATCATCTCCAAGTACTGAATGAATGAATCCTTGTACTGTGCTTAAAGATGTTCCTATCACACAGTAAGCATTGTGTACTTATTAGTGATTATTATTACTGTTTTTATTGTGGCTATTGTTAGAAGTCAGACGTCTTCTATGCTTCATGGGCTCATATTGTAGTAGGAAAAATACATAAACAAAACTAACTCTAATGCTATAAAGTATGATACATTTCAGAAACTTGAAATGGAAAGAATACGTAATGAGTGAGAATTTGGAATTGTTTCATGCCTGGCCCTGAATGATGTCACATTATTGTGAAATTTCTTATGCACATGTCAGCATCAGAAAATAGCAAGGGCAGCATTCTGGGGAAGATGAACAGTGGAGAGCAGTTAAACTAAAGAGGCTTGAACAATCAACAAAATGGCCGTAACCCTAAATGGCTTTTAAATATTAATTAATTTACTAACTAAATATCCTGTTGTCAAAAAATAATCATTTCTTACTATCATTTACTCTTTAACTTGGCTTTCAAGGGCATTCAATGTCAAGGCCCAACACACCTCTCCAACCTTATCTTCCAGCATTCTTTACCTACCAGTCCAGTTTTATGTCCCAGCCATCATTTTTTCTCTTTTTTCCTGAACACCACTGTATTTTTGTATATTTTACCTCTACCTCAAAGGCTCTTATAACTGCTCCTGCACAGGACAAAATTCTAGCCTTCTATAAAATTCCTTTTTCCAAATGTTGTTTCCTTTATAAAGCTTTTCCTGACTTTCTGTGTAATTTCAAGTTTAGCAGACAGACCAAATACACACACATACACACCCCACAATGCAGAGTGGTAGATTAAATTCTCAATTTATTTAATCAAGGATAGAGAATCTTATGAGAAATGAGTTTGGCCACCCAGAACTGGAACAGATGCAGTCTATTTCAGTAGTATTCCCTTGGCTCCCAAATCCCTAAGGAGTGGGGGCTGGCATGCCTCTGCCAGTGATACTGTCCACGTACAGTAGAGTCTTATCTTGCTGATTGGAGAGGCTTAATTTCTTACTAGGCTATGGTCCTTACTTAATTGATGTTTTCATTACAATCCATGAAGAATTATACATACAATCTATATGCTTCCATTTAAGGGAAAAATTGATTCCTGCCTTTTGAACTAATCTCAGTGACATTGAAGGGGTTTCATCAACTAGGGAAAGTGTAAATACGGTTCTGAGTAGCTGCATTGAGGGTGCCAACACTGCAGAAAACTTTTTAAAAATGTCTCTACACAATATTAGATTTTTCATCTTCTAGCTCCCATAACATTTTCTTTCTACTATGAGCTAGGCTGTAGGCTGGGGATGCAAACCAGTAGATGAGATACAGTCTGGTCTTCATGGAGTCGTGGTACAGTAGACAACACAGAGCAATAGTCAGCTAATTTGATAAACTTGGCAGTAACCGAGGTGTCCTTTGTTAGGTGGAAGAATAACAAAACTGTGGTGTACCTGGGCAATGGAATATTATTTAGTGCTAAGATGAAATGAGCTATCAAGCCACGAAAAGACATGGAGAGACCTTAAATGCACATTACTAAGTGAAAAAAGTCAATGTTGAAAGAATACATACTATATGATTTCAATATATAACGTTGTGGAAAAGGCAAAACTATGGAGACAGTAAAAAGATCAGTGGTTGCCAGGGGTGGGGCAGGGGCAGGGTGCATAGGAAGAGCACAGAGGATTTTTAGGGGAATGAAAATACTCTGTCTGATACCATATGATGAATACATTTTTCCAAACCATAGAATGTTCAAGCAAGAGCGAACCCTAATGTAAACTGTGGACTTTCAGTGATTATGATGTGTCAGTGTAGGTTCATCAGTGGTAAAGTAAATATTCCACTCTGGTGGGGGATGTAGATAATGTGAGAGTCTGTGCAGTGTGTGGGTAGAGGGTATAATGGCTATCTTTGCATTTTCTCAATTTTGCTGTGAACCTAAAACTGCTCTAAAAAAAGCCTAAGTCTTAAATAAAATAAAAAATAAAGAAAAGTATTTTTAAAAACAAAAACAAAGAAACCAGCTAGTTTGAATGATAATCTGTGTCACCACAGGGGCAAGTACTGAGTACTATGAGAGTATGTAAATAGGACATCTAATTCATTGTAGAGAAATGAGAGGTACCTTGGAGAAGGTGACACTTGAGATGTTGGTATGAGTTAACTAGGTAAGGAGGTTGGAAAGAACATTCCAATCAGATAGA